GTAAGAAATGTTATGAATCATAGCAATACAAATTGAGTTGTTTTTCAAAACTTGGACGAGCTTAAAGTAAGTAATCTATGATAATTTTGCTGCCGCAAAACATGCCTGTTATGTTAACCATCCCACCAAGCAATGGTAGTGGCGACGGTGACGGTGTGTGTGTGTGCGGCGCGTTGCGTGCGTACGTAGCCGTGCGTGCGGTTGCGCGTGTTCCTGTGCGTTGCGTGCGTGTGCGTGCGTGGCGTGCGTGCCTGCTAAGTGCGGTGTGCGTCGTGCGTGTGGTGTTGCTTTGTGGCGTGTGCGTATGGTGCGTGATGTGCGTTTTCTGTGCGTGGTATGTGTGTGTGTGATGTGTGTCGTGTGGGGAGGGCGGGTATGCTGTGAGTCGTACGCACGCTCTACGCAATGCTCTACATTTCGCACGACAGCCGGCTTGGACTGTTGAGGTTTCGAAACCCGCTCAACCTCCCCGCCGCGTTACACGTCCGCCCTGGCCGCTCCCCCAGTGTGCCTGCAGCAGCCGCCGAGCTCTCACACTCACACCCTTTCACACACACACACACACACACACACACACACACACTACACACCACACACACACACACACAGCACACACACAGCACACACACACCCACAACACGACACACACACCACACCCACACACACACACACACCAGCACACATCACACACACACACACACACACACACCAGCAGACACACACACACACCACACACACACCCACACAACACACACATATCACCCGCCCCCACACACACACACACAAATACACACACACACACCACACACACAACACACACACACACACACCCACACACACACCACACACGACACACACACACACACACAACACCACACATACACCTCCCCCCCAACACACAACAAATACACACACACACACACACACACACACACACACCACCCACACACACACACACACACACACACACACACACACACACACACACACACACACACACACACACACACACAACCACCCACAACACACATTCACACCCCCCACACACACACAGCACACAAATACACACACACACACACACACACACACACACACACACACACACACAACAGCACACGCACACGGCCCGATGCACGTACCCGCTCCCGTGCAGAACGCATTCGTCAAAACATCGTCTTTCGGACCGCGCCGTGGTCCTTTACGGCGGTATCTTGTTTGCCCGGATATGCTTAACGCGCCTCGCATGCCCAATGCTACGCACGCCTGTCAGTGCGCGACGTCGCCGACGGGAGCAGGCAGGCGACTGTTGACCACGATGGCGAGGAAATATAAGCTTGGATCGTAGATCACAACTAATGTAGTGCGGGAACGCTAATATGTACCAGGGTGGAACGAAGTGCGACGTGTGACACACAAACGCGCGCGAGCGCGCGGAGTGCGCACTGCACGCACCGCACGGCACGACCACGCACGCACGCACGCCAGCTACGCACGCAGCACATACGCACCGCTCATAGAAGACGGCTATGTTTGCGCGTGAGTATCCGTCCGTGACGTGCCGTGCAGTGCCGTCGCGTGCGTGCATGGGGCCGCTGGGGCGTTTGGCCGCGTCAAACCGTCTGGGGCGTGTGCGTTGCGGTCTGCGTGCGTACGTGCTGTTGCGTGGCGTGCGTGCGTGCGTGCGGTGCGTGCGTTGCACACATTTACAACTCCGTGAGGCGACAAGCGCGTATTCAGGTGCGTTAATTGGACCGGAAACGTCTTTCTTCCTATATATTGGTTCGACACCCATTTCAGGTAAAATGTCCATGTCACTGAGAAGCAGGCGCATATCGTCAGAGAGAAGGTACTGAGAAAGAGTTGTCTTCCACGTGTTCTGATCGGCATTACATCGCCCCTTCTCATGCAGCATAAGATTGATCGCTGCGTAGTCCATACACAGCAGCAGCTGCCGCTCGTCTGCTTGCTCCTGACTTAAGGACTGAATGTATTGTTCTGCATATCGGGCGTCACCTAGCTCATAGTATTCCACAGCAAACTCCTGCGTTATCTCACAGACGCCAATCAGCTGCACTACAAGCGGATTTGGTTGCAGCAACTGGTAGTTTGCCAGTGCTTGTTTATACTTCATCTTCTTTTTGGCTATAGGAAGTTGCATCAGCACGATCTTATGCCTTTTAAACGTAGTCTGAAATTGTATCTGTAAAGTAAAATAAAATAATGTCTTAGTTTAGTAAACACGTCTACGTAACGTCTGTGACAGAAAATGATTACACTTTGTAGCGATGCAATCATGCAAAGGATGCGACCGAAAGTTTCATATCGCGACATAGAAACAGATTTCGAGAACGTGCGAAATCTGTGTCGTTCGGTACGACGCGACGTACATGCGACGGTGCGATTTCTAGTGAGGTCGACAGTCGTAAGATGCAGCAACGCAGATACAGATAAGAAACAGCAATAAAACAAGAACAGCTGAGGTCCATAGCGCTGGTTCTCACCATCAACGCATACGCCGAAGGCTGTTGCTGAAGCTAGAACAGCGACACCGATCGACACGGACGAAAGAACGTGTATCCCCCTTTAAAGGGCTAGCTAGAGGGAGAGAGGGCAGGGGAGAGACGAGTGTGACGCGACGCGTGACGTGTGTTGGGAAGTCCGAGTTTGAAGTTGACTATGCATGCTGTGCTGTGTATCTAGTATCGTATTTTACCCATGTGTGCATGTAGAATATAGCCTTTTTTATATATCATACGTGACTCTTTGGATTATCTCTGATTGCTGATTATACCGAAGGCGCATTTTCCATCATTACAATTTCGTCTCCTTAAAATGTCTCTCGTTAATATTAATACGGTACAGATAAAGTTATCGTGAATTTTTCTTAGAACATCTTCAACGGTGGCAAACCTTCTAAGAAGGAGAGGAAGCGAGTTAGTTGTTTCTAGGTCGCAACGGAAAGAGAGTTGACGTGTTTGACAGCCACACTATTATAAGGGCGAGCCGGTGCGAGAGTAAGTGTAAGTGAATTACGTGTTTAATTTAGATGTGATCGTACAAGATGTTTATCTTTATTTAATTTCATCAGTAGTCCTCCTTCCTTGTCCTGAATTTATTGTGCATTTCTCTTCCAGCATAGCCTAGTCTGTGTAACGCACGCGCACGCACGCACGCACGTACGCACGCACGCGCGCACACACACACACCGTCACCGTCGCCACTACCTTGCTTGGTGGGATGGTTAAAACAGCATGTTTTCGCAGCAAAATTCATAGATCTACTTACTGTAAGCTCGTCCAAGTTGAAAAACAACTCATTTGTATTGCTAGATTCATAACATTTCTTCAGCAAACCTAAACAGTCTTGCGAACCTCTTCCTTTCAATGTTTACACAGTGTTTACACATCTGGGACATATACACGCAATCGCAGTTTTCAATAACAGTTCTTTTCTATGATAGAACAAGTTATAATTCATTATTCGATGTTTGTTCAGTACAAAATTGTGAAATTTGTTTCAATCATATTACATTATCTAGATTACTTGTGCAATCAGCAAACAAATATTGTGTTTTATTCCAGGAACTACTTGCGCTAGCGTAGGCCTACTATTAACGTTCTCAGTCAAATCGCTCAATCTGTACGCAAAAACTCTGTCCGACGGAGTTTCAAAATAGCATGAAAATTGTTAACTTCGGAGCACATTTCTGGCTCAATAAGAACATTTCGTGATGTTTGCATAGTGCACAGTACTAGTAGGTGTATGTAGGCTTTTTGTTGCGAAGTTTATCCGTCCTAAATACAGGTGCACTGTCAATGTAGTAAGGATAATAATAAAAACATGCTAGTTAATACTTGTATGAAATTTATCCCGCACGACCACGTCTATAGCAAGGCGAGCGTGCCCACGTAAAGCAGATTGCTTCATCAGTGTAGGTGTCTAAAGGTGCGCCACCGTCATTGAAATTGGAACACTCTGCTGCTCGTGCAAAAAGGTAACCTTCTAAAGCTTTTTCGACCGAAATCGAGCCAGCCCTTCTAATATCATGTTCACAACAGCTAGAGCAAATATAAAATTGAGCAGCAGAGCGTTCTAATTTCAATGACGCACCTTTAGACACTTGCCTCGATGAAGCAATTAGCTTTTTTAAGTGTATGACGAAAGCACGGGGGAGCGGCGGCGGGTTTGAGATATGTGTTGCCTCTTGGTGCATGTGTTCGTTTGACGATGGTGACACATCGGGTATAACATTGCCTGGCAATTAAGAGGATGCTGATGATGATGCATTGAGAGCCGCCACCTGCTGCCACTCGCCATGCACTGTGATTAGAGCCACGGCAGCCATGTGCCGTCAGCTAATAATGCTAATCAAAGCTGACGAGCAAGGCACTGCTGAATTCATCTGCAATAATTAGATATTAGTATGTATAGGCCCGCTGTAAACTCTCGTACATGCACGACGTACACACACACCTATATAAAGATGGTATGCACGCGCGCGCGCACGTGTTTGTGTGTCTGTGCGTTTTTTGGTTTGATATATATATATATCACAATTAAATAACAATATATATATATGTATATATATATATATATACCAACCATTTGCCAACCGTGACAATGCCAACCATACGCCAACGTTGGTCCAACGTCATGCAGCCAACCATTTGCCAACCGCGTGACCATGCCAACCATACGCCAACGTTGGGCCAACGTCATGCAGCCAACCATTTGCCAACCGTTACCATGCCGACCATACGCTAACGTTGGCCCAACGTCATGCAGCCACCCATTTGCCAACTGTGACCATGCCAACCATTCGCCAACGTTGGCGCAACGTCATGCAGCCAACCATTTGCCAACCGTGACCATGCCGACCATACGCCAACGTTGTCCCAACGTCATGCAGCCAATCACTTGCCAACCGTGACCATGCTAACCATACGCCAAGTTGGCCCCACGTCGTCATGCAACCAACCATTTGCCGACCGTGACAATGCCAATCATACGCCAACGTTGGCCCAACGTCATGCAGCCAATCACTTGCCAATTCTGCCAACTAGCATCATGCCAACCATATGCCAACGTTGGCCCAACGTCATGCAGCCAACCATTTGCCAACTAGCATCTTGGCATCCATACGCCAACGTTGGGCCAACGTTTGCCAACCATACGCCAACGTTGGCCCAACGTCATGCAGCCAACCATTTCCAACTAGCATCATGCCAACCATCGCCCTGGGGTGCGGTGAAGCTAAAACAAAGATTTTTTTATTGGGCCCCAGTGCAGTCACAGCACTTGAAAGGCGTTTCAACTAAAAATAATCTAAATAAATACGAAAATCTATTTACTAAATTCTTAATACGCATAAGGCGTACACAAAAAATTGTTTGTTTCCGGTTACCCAACCGACCTAACCAAATAGTTGCGACCCTAAACATGTTTTGACGCACTTTTAAAAATGAAAATCAACAAATGCATCGATTGGACTTTTAATATAAATTTAAGATGAATTTATTACGAAGCATAACCCTGCACATTGCGGCATGCAGCCAATTAACTCACCTCTATAAAATTAGGAAATGGCCTAAACATTTTATTGTCAATTTTCTTTGTTTTTCTATGGGCGCCACCATTTTTAAGTCATGTGATCACCCGGAAATGGCCGGAAATGGAAATGTGATCACACGCATGCGAATGCTGCGCGTGCGGAAAATGGCGGCACCCAGTCCCAAGCACTTGTCTTGCACTGCTTTTCGGTAAATGCGCCCACATGAAGAAAAAACGACTGTTGACAACAGTTCAGAACAATGTACGCATCGTTTCGCTGCACGAGGAATATCATCCTGTTATAAAAGGATGCGATTTAGCCGTGAAATGTTCGAAAATGTTGGGATCGTTTGATTCGGCATTGATGTCGATCCCGGCTGTCAGTTGCCAAATCTTTTAAACTTCGTGTACAAGCTATAAAGTTTATTTGTACCGAGAACCCCCAGGGACAGGAACTAGACTTGGCGGAAATCGCAGAAGAGGCTACGACTACTAGTACTACTGTTGATGCCCTTTCAAATTTAATGGCAAATGAGCGGTCATTTCCACCCAAGAAAACGAGCAGGTAGGTATCTTTTTGTGTCCCACTATAAGCTTGAAAGGAAGTTAATCATTTAACAACCTTGAAAGACACAGGGACTTGCAATCTAGTTGCAAAATGTACTTAAAGACTAAGACTGTGACCTAAGTTTAGTGCATGCATAGTCTGGTCACCCACATACCGGTGGTTCGTTTATATGACTATTCTACTCAAACATATCGAAAGAAATCGAACATAAATTTTAAAAGCTACTTATATATACTAACAGCCAAATCCAAATTTTGTTCGATGTGTGTTTGGTAGAATCAAATAATAGCCAGATATCTCAATCGTTGTATTAGGGTTCCTAAGTTTGTAAAACACCGCCGATAGCGGTTTGTTGACTATTCAGATCAACATATCGAAACAAATCCCAACATATTTTATACCTAATCTTGACAGATATACATAGTACTAGATGAATACTACAGTAATTGCAAGGTATAGCTGGTTTAATTATTTAAATTCAATGGTATAAATTTGTGAGTCGTTAAATGCAGTTCCAACTGACTTTGCATCAATGGTGAAACTGTACCGGGTACCCAAAAATTCAAAAATTTACCATGTATTCAGGGTAATATTTTATAATGTTCTTGACATATTTCATGAAACATTCAAACAGATATTTACACCCACATTTATAGTGAAGTTCAAAGTATAAAAAATATTATGCTGTTCATGTGTATTTAAACGGGTGAAAAATCGATGTAAACCATAGGGGAATATGCGAAAATTCCAGCACATGACGATGGATCCATTGAACATTGTAATATTATGCAGCACAACGTTCGATTTAGTGGGCCGAGTGCATTTGCACTGCAGACGTATTGTCTAGCCGCATTGTCTGGTTCGCTTGATACAATCATGATGCAATGTATACACATGTTCACAATTATGATCAACATCGGCCACAAATATGCTATGCCTGCTGTATAAAAACGCTAGTGTGACATAGTAAATTAGTAACTAAGGGCGCGCACGGCGCTCGCGCTCAGTGTCGCACTTAGCTCAGGTGCGCTGTCCGTATAAAAGTTGATAAGCTCAACAAACCACTATCCGATTATGACGAT